TGCTGCTGCTGAACATAAAATGGCCGATCATTTATATAAAAGGCTTCAGTCCCACAGCAAGATTCATATACTCGGGCCCAAGGCAAGCTATACCCGTTCTATTGCTTTTGACGATCGTCTTAGGATCGTTCTCACTGTGCTGGTATTTTATCCTTCAATATCTTGTATAATCACAGCAATCCTTCCACAGGACACGGCCTGTAAGATATCACTCACCAACGAATAGCAGTAGTTGGGAGTTGTATCCTTCAGATACCTCCATTATAACTTTGTTGCGGCCGTCCTAAACGATTTGTTTGGCATTCAAGCTAGGGGTGGCTGCGCTTGTGCTGGACCGTATGCGGAAACCATTCTCGGTCTCAGTGCTGAAAACGCCACCAAGTTCGAAGAAGCTGTCGGTAGGTTATTTGCATTCTCCTCCAATGCTCTGAATATGTTCAAGGCTGCACATTATCCGAGATTTTCAAGCCTGGATTCGTTCGAATTGGAGTGCACTTCACAATGACCCAGGAAGAAGTGGACCTCGTCGCCGATGCTATTCTGTGGATCGCCGATAATGGTTGGATACTCCTCCCTTCGTACACTTTCAAGACCCGATCAGGAGAGTGGTATCATATCAGACGAGATGATAGGCAGAAGCTCAGGTGAGTAGAAGTGGCTTAATGGCCTAGTGGAATTATTACTTACTCAGGAGTCTTTCGGAGACGTTTGATCAATCATCCTTTCCAACAGTGGTTGAATTGATTTCTCTTGGGAACTGCTCCGCACGATGTGGTGAGGGCAGTGCCCGTCGCTCAAGTCTGCCGTCAATCGGAAGCCACAACCACGTCGATGAGGACTCAGCAATGATTACGCAAAAAGGTGATGAGGTGTGCAAGAAGATTCTGTCCGAGGTGAGTCGTCATGGACCATTAACCAAGACTCAGGGTGAATCTCGTGCAATAGAAAAACGGGGTGTGTGCTGGTATCGCCGTGGTATTGGGAGAATATCTTATCGATAGTGTCAGGATTCGTATCAGTAGCATTACCAATGGTGATCATATTATCGGCTTAACCAGACGGGATTATCTTGCTTCAATTTTACAACGAAGTGAACCGATCCCAATAACATAGGCTACATTGAATTTCTGATTGCTTCCTATTATCACACTGTACAGTGTCTTAATGCAGTTGGCTTTGCCCGTCTCAGGCAGCCATGGTCCAGCTCGACTTGCCACTACTCGATCCTAGTCTCATCCACCTATTGTGGTTCGCTCATCCATTTGATGCTCAGCAGTCTATCATTCAATCGATGTCTTCAAGTGAGCCGCCTAAACCTATGGTTCGCACTGACCTAGACCTTTCAAACATTGCGGAGAATGCCCCTGGACATGGAATTAGTTCAAGGTGAATACTAGATCTCCGTCTTGTCCTCATCGAATTGTTAGTATGTCAGACCCAGTGAAAGCATATTCAACGTTCGCTCTTGGAGTGATGGAGTCGAATCTCCTAGAGGAGTCAAAAAGGTGGGCAGCATTCCGCTCAGCCTCATGTTGTGTCGCTGAGAATGACTCCCGGTCCTCTCGGTAGACTACTCCGGTCGTCCCTCCATCCTCAAGCTTATTATCACTCAAGGGTGTAAGGAACGCCAAGAAGCTCTTAGACCGTCGTGAGCGCACGCTCGCATCGGCGAACTAGACAATCACTACC